CTCTCTCTCAAACCAGTTGAACAACAGCTCAGGAGTTAAATCATCCGAATGCCATGTTCGGTGCTGATCAGTGCCGCCTGCGCACGGACGACGAAATTCAACATGCATCTCAGAAAAGGGGTCGAGCTGAGTTCAACTCTTCGTGTAGAAGAAGTGAAACCCGTCGTCTGTCGTGCAGGAGCCAAATCTGGTTGTAAATATTTACAAGACTCAAACGATCTGTTTCAATGGCAGTCGTCTAAGCAAGTCCCCCCCCCCCCCCCCGGGCCTTGGCTCGTCCCGGGCGTCTGAGCCAAAGATGGTGGTGTTGGCTCAAAGAAACAAAAAGCAGCCGCAGCGTTGTTGTTGTTTTAACTGGAAACCAGAATGAGAATGTCTGGAGCCAGATCCACACACAGCTCGGACACAGCTCGGTGGGGATCAGGCCTTCGGCTCATTATGTTATAATCTTTTAAAAATAGAACAGACACACACACACACACACACACACAGAGTGAGGTTATTGGAAAAAGTGATTGTTTGCTGAAATAAACAGTGAATCTGTCAGACGGACTCTTCTGAACCGAGGTGATGATGATAAAGAAACCATGAGAAGCTGAGTCGTCTCTCCTCCTCCATCTTCTGCAGACGCTCTTCTCTCCGTCACACGTTCTCTGTTGGAAGATCAATCCCACGGTCACTGACCAGTCTCAGGAGACAGACGGGGTTTCCCTCCAGGGGCCTGAAGGTGATGTGTTTCTGCTATGACTCATAAAAAAAAATGCCCAAAATGTTTGAAACGCTGCTTCAACAAAGTGATTCGCTTTGTTAAGATGAAGAAGATAAAGTATCGTCCAGCAGCTCAATGTTCTCTCAACACTCAGAAAGTTCCTCACGTGACGAGTTTGATTTTTATCAGAGCGAGAGAGGAAACTTAAAAATGTGCATTTAACTTTTACACTGACTTTTTTAAATTAGTTTTCTCTCTTTCAGACCTTCCAGTTTTATTTCCATCTGCATCCTGAAGCTTTTCACGAAGAGGTTTGTTCATAAATAACTCACAGTCTGACTCAAAGACCGTTTCACAGCAGAAAACCAGGTGAAAATCTATTTTTACAGCTGTTGACTCTGTTCTCTGATTTATGGAGAAAGAAAAACAGATGTCGGAGATCCCCTCCGTAAAGACGTTTTGTCAAACATTAAAAGATTTGATTGGTTGATGAAATTAAATATATATGTGAAAATGGTCAAAGATCTAATTACAGACTTTAGTCTCTGTGAAGAAATGAGGCTGTGATTGAACGATGAACATAAACTGGAAGCAGAGTTTGAGCAGAGAAACTTTTGAATCGGTTCCTCGTCTCAGACTCAAAGTTTGGAGCTGATGGTTTGTGAACGTCCCACAGTGGAGTCAGCAGCAGAGCGACAGGTTTTTCTTCTTTCATGCACATAATGAATGATTTGGGAAGTGATTCTGCAGGACGACATAAATCACTGTTAAAGAGAGGAAGCAGGGAAACTCAAACTAATTTTCCAGCCTTGAATTCGACCCAGACGAGGTTCAGTCATGTAATGATGTGCATAATGAAGAGTGTGTGTGTGTGTGTGTGTGTGTGTGTGTGTGTGTGTGTGTGTGTGTGTGTGTGGGTGTGTGTGATAATAACAACTACTTGACGTCAGGTTTTTAAATGTCCGACTGACTCATTCTGAAGAGATTAGCACACGCTCCCCTAACAGCCTTTAATGGATCTGTGGCGTGTGTCCGTGTGTTTGCTTACATGGGGACAATGTGTCCGTCCACGTACATGCTGATGTGCGTCTCATTGTGTGTTTAATGTGTTAATGGCCAGTGTTGCTTACTCATCCGAGGCCCGGACCCACCGAGTCGCTCCTCAGACGGCCGAGCTGCAGCTGCACAGCACGACGAACACACACGTGCAAACACACACGCTTCAGGTGGACACACATCACAGAGTCGCTGTGTGACATTCTGTCGTCAGCTCAGAGATGCTTCACTCAGCGTGTCGGAGGAATGTATTTCTTCTCGTAGATCGATTTGTCTCGAACATCTAAAAGTACTCAACGCTATCGTTGCATTTGCAGCAGATATCCATCACGAACACTTCCTGTCCCACGATGCTGTGATAACGTGTCAGCCCTTAAAACCCTGAATTGTTAGTGTTGGGATTAGTTCTGTTTAACTCTGTGTTTTAGCAGAAAAGTAGTTTTCATGTAGAGAAAAACAAATGATCGCACCGCCCCACCGAACACTGGATATTACCCATGATCCTCTGCTTCCTGAACCAGAAGAGCAAGAGTAAGAAACTCAGTTTATTAGAATTCTACATTTCTTCAAAGTTTCCTGCTGAGCTTTAAACGCCGCTCGACTTCTACCGGGACTTTCTTTGCCTCTAGCTTTGCATGTTCCTCCTGTTTGTTCAAACGTCCATGGTGACGTCTCGACTTAAACAATCCCTGAGGGGGGTTGAAGGGTTGAAACCACACTTCTGTTAAATTTCAGTTTAAAATCAGAATATGACAAACACACACAAAGAGAGGGAGGGAGGGAATCCCCCCCCCGGCTAATGGTTTCTGCTGCTGACACACTGAGATGATCTACAACTCTGCTCCCTGAGGGGCTGTCCTCACCACACACACACACACACACACACACACACACACACACACAATTCGTTTCCGCAACTGACGCTGCAGAGAAAAGGAAAAGGTTCACTCTGCTGCTTCTTGACGTGTTTCCTGCAGCCACCGACACATGTGACGTTACGTTTCAGTGAAAAAAGAGGATTCACTTTCTCAGCCACAATCAAACATATTCAGATATTTATACATGAATATTCATAATGTTGAATAATGAATAACGACTGAGAAGATTATAGAACGAGACATCGTGAACATTTATTTGTGTGTTGTCTGCATTTACTGAGAGATAACCTCTGACGGTCGGCCTCCTCTTTCCTTATTGATATTTGTATTTATATATTCTGGATGTTTTTATGTATTTGTTAATTAAAGCTATAGATTTATTGGAGTGAGTCCTCTGACAAAACTATATAGTGATACCATCTCTCTCTCATCGTCATTATCAAGTGTTGTTGTTTCAAAATAAAAGCAACAGGCCCTCGTATTGTCTCGGGGGTGGGGGGGGGGGAGGCCCTGCTGTTCATGCCTGTGTTTTATGTTCCAGTGAATCTTTACACTCACATCCTCCTCTTGTGTGTGTGTGTGTGTGTGTGTGTGTGTGTGTGAGACAGAAAGATGAGAGAGGATTTTTTGAACATGTTCTAATGAACTGAACTTTATTCTTTAGAAAGAAAGTCCCTCTGATGTGTCGTTGACGCTTCCTCTCGTCATCTCCCTGGAAAGATGAGAAGAATCGCCTGTCAGCATCATGGACTCCGAATGAAGCAGAATTATCTCGATCGCCACCTGGAGGTCAGAAATCCTCCATGAGTCATTGAACACATTTAGTACATTTGTCCCAGAGACAGTTTCTGTGATTTCAGGTGGTTCTCGTCGCACCGATGTGTGTGAGAGTTAATGTTTCAGATAAGTTGAGTTTTGGTCATTTGATCCTGTGAGAATGAGGCGAAACATCAGATCGACAGATGAGACTAACGCCTCGGCAGCGTTTGAATCCACGATAAGTTGGCTCTCGCTTCTGTCAAACAGTAGAAAGTGGAGACGTCTTCTTTATTTAATGAATCTATGTGATCGCTTGAATTTCATATATTCAATAAATATAAATCAATGTATGATTGTGGTTCTGTTTCAGAATGTGTTTCTGGTAGTGATGGTGGGAGACAAAGGGCATTATTCTAATTTTTATTTTTTTAAATAATTCAAATAATAGACAATAAAACGAAGAATCTAAACACACAGTGATGAAACGTCACTGTTGTGATTCTAATGATAATGACGTCACAGTCTTTCATTCTAAAGTTTGTTGTCACTGTTGTTGTTTTTGTTTTTTTATCATTTGATAATAAACTTTTAACTTTTTTTTAAAAACATCGCTCGTCTGCCTGGAAACGCTCCCGGTTACCTAGCAACGCAGAAACCCCGTCGACCAATCAGAGTCCTCGCTGCGCGCATTGTTCTGCGGTGCGGACGGACTTTAAATAACCTCCGGGCCCGAGAATCGAACCGAAAACCTGCGGGCGAGTGAGTTTCCCCCGGTCACGAGGTTCGGTGTGTTTTAAAAACGCGTTTGACGGAACCGACGAGCGCTCAAAGAAGAAGCGGTGCGGGAGTTCCACGCGCGGACGCGGAGGGACTGTGTTTCGTGTCGGCGGAGCCGCGGAGTGAGCGGGTCGTGCTGCGGCTGTATAAAGCAGGTGTGTGCGGGGCGGTGCGGACACTGACTCCTCCACCGTGAGTGCGCGCGTGAGTTTCTGGATCATGAGTCTGAACGAACTTTATTTCTTCTCCTCCGGATTCTGAAGACTTTCAACGAACGTACGTAGAAACCTGAGAACTCCGTGTAGCTGCTGTTAGCATGGATAGCATGGTGTGTGTGTGTGTGTGTTGGGGGGGGGGTGTTTTAACGTAACATTGAGATTCTTCAAACCTGCGGTGAATGTTCCGAACTGTTCCTGAGGTGCGTGCGGTGGCCCCCTCACGCACATTGTGCGGGTGCGCTGATGAATCAGCTGGAGCGGGTCAGTGTTTGGTGAAATGCGTGTCGTGGTTTTTTTTTTTTTTTTTTAAACGTTATTCACGTGCACTCTAACCCCGCGTGCGTCGCTTCTGGAATGAAACCGGCCACGCTCGCGCACTCAGCTGTTTCTGGAAGCCTCACGCGCTGTGTGAGCGGCTCGTGCTGAACACGATGATGATGATGATGAAGATGATGATGATGATGTGTCATGTTTTAACCTTAAAGTTCGTCACTGTTGATTCTGGACGAATCAAAGTTCTTAGAACTGATGAAATGAATTTTAAATAATTGATCAATGATCTGCAGCTATTTTTTATTTGTTTTTGAATATTGATGAGAAAAAAAAGTAATTTGGACACAGTTGAGTTTTGAAAACTTTTATTCTGATGTTTTATTGAACTAAACAATGAATTGACAAATCGGTCGATGATCAAATATTAAACCTCACAACTGGAATTAATTCAGTTTGTTTCTGCTCTTTACTTCCTGTTTAGTAGATTTAATTTAAAAAATGTCCTCCGGCCGGATCACTGTTGCTTTAGGGTTTTTATATTCTGGTTTATTCTGATGTTGTGGATTCACTTTGTGCCACGTCTGAAGCTAACGATCGTCTTTCTCTTCTCTCCTGTCGTCTCAGTTAATCAGAACCTTGTGAGAAGATGGAAAACAAGGAGGAATCAAAGAGTAGTTCAGTCAGTGTCCTGTCCTGGGAGCAGGTGAGCCGCCTCAACGAGGTGCTGACGGAGGTCGTGCCTGTTCACGGACGAGGGAACTTCCCCACCTTAGAGGTGCGGCTCAAAGACATTGTGTCCTGGGTGCGCTCCCGCCTGGAGCTGAGGGGCATCAGAGTGAAGGACATTCGTCTCAACGGCTCCACGGCCAGCCACGTGCTGGTGCAGGACATCGGCTGGAGCTACAAAGATCTGGACGTCATCTTCAGGGTGGACCTGCCGCACGAGAAAGAATACCGCGTCATTAAGGACGTGGTGCTGGGCACCCTGTTGGACTTCCTGCCCGAGGGTGTGAACAAAGAGAAGATCACTCCCATGACTCTGAAAGAGGCTTACGTCCAGAAGCTGGTGAAGGTCAACACGGAGCAGGACCGCTGGAGCCTCATCTCCCTCTCCAACAACAACGGCCGCAACGTGGAGCTGAAGTTTGTGGACTCAATACGCCGGCAGTTTGAGTTCAGTGTGGACTCCTTTCAGATTGTGCTGGACTCCATGCTCGCCTACTACGAGCTGGCACAGACGCCAATGTCTCAGGCCTTCCACCCGACCGTGAGCGGGGAGAGCGTGTACGGGGACTTCAGCATGGCACTGAGCCACCTGCGCAACAAGCTCATCGCCACCAAGCGTCCCGAGGAGATCCGGGGCGGCGGCCTGCTGAAATACTGCAACCTGCTGGTGCGGGACTTCCGGCCGGCCAGCGAGGAGGAGTTCAAGGGCCTGGAGCGGTACATGTGCTCACGCTTCTTCATCGACTTCCCTGACCTGGGTGAGCAGCAGCGCAAGGTGGAGGCCTACCTCCAGAGCCACTTCATAGGCGAGGAGAAGAGCAAGTACGACTACCTCATGATCCTGCGGCGAGTGGTCAACGAGAGCACGGTGTGCCTCATGGGTCACGAGCGGCGGCAGACCCTCCACCTCATCTCGCTGATGGCCTTCCGGGTGCTGGCGGAGCAAAACGCCATCCCGGACGCGTCCTGCGTCACCTGCTACTATCAGCCGGCGCCTTACGTCCGAGACCACAACTTCAGCAACTACTACGTGGCCAACCAGAACATTCCGACATGGCTGCCATGTAACTGAGGCGACAGCCACACGGAAGGATGTAGAAGAGGGCACGGCCGCCGCTGCGTTTGAGAAGAGAGAAGGTTTAGCAGAAAAGAAAAAACTAAAAAAAAAAAAAAAAGATGTAGAGGCAATAAATGCAAAGTTCCTCTCAAGGCACAATTATATTTAAGTGGACAAGTGTTTTGCTTTGTTTTTGCGATCCTTTCTCATTCCTTATCTACAGAGGCGTCTAGGTCATTGAATAGAAAGTGATATTTTTAAGTGTTATTTAGATTTCTCTCTCATGATGTTTGGTTGTTTCCCTGTTTATCAACTTTATTCTTATTGGAGTTCTGTTTCGTGCCTTAACCTCCAGGTTTATCTCCCAGTAGTTTAAGTATATGGGCTGTTTTTTTGTAGACAGGGAAAAAGAAAAAAACGTTATAGCCTGAATTTGGTGTCCCAAAAAAAAAAAAGAAGAAAATGTTTGAAAAGGCAGAAAAAACTGATATAATGAGAAAATGCTGTTATCGGGGAAGAGATGATGTAAAATGTTTCAGCTCAATTTAAAAAAAAAAAAAACTAACCAGAGCACTGGTGTTAAAACACTTGGGGAGAATTTAAGGTGGCTCATGAAAAACTTTTCCCATCAGAAATTATGGATTTGTTTTAATAGATTTTGTAAATATCTGTCACGGACACACTCTGATACGCCGGCAGTGCCTGTGATTTGTGAAAAAGCAAAGAAAATGTATATTTTTTATTTTCCACTGTGAATTTCAGTACAGGACGAGCTCCCTCCTCCTCCTCCTCCTGTTTACTCAGTCCTGTACTTTGAGTGTGAAACTGCAGTCTGACAGTTCAGGCCTCAGATCGAGGAGGAGTGAGGAGCTTAGTTTTTTAAGTCACTTCCAAAGCCCGTGACCTCCGCATGTCACAATCCTGGCTTTCACAGGGTGAGTGTGACCGCCGGAGCGAGCGCCGTGGGGCTGCCGTTGTTGCCTGGAGCCAGAACCGGCTGGGAGTCCTGCGGTGGCTGTCCCCTACCTTAAAAGGAGCAGCACATGGCGCGCCCCGCTGGGTCGTCCCTCACAGCCATCGCAGGCTCCGCAGCAGCCCTGAAATGGGATCCTCCTCTGACGCAGCTCGGCGACTGGCTCTCAAACTACAGGCCGTCTATAATTATCCTTTTTCTGTTTCCCCGGGGGGACGGGGGGTAAGGGAACCGGTCCGAGCAGCAGCAGTACTGCCACCTTCACTTCCTGTCCGCTCCTTCCTGGTGCCTGCTGGATCCACCGGTGTTTGAACCCCTTTTGTGGTCATGGACACCAGGACAGAGTTTGGTATGTTTAGAGAAACGCCAGTGTGTCTGCTGGAGGGACACCCCCCCCTCATGGATTTTGATTTATCGCAGAAGCTTTAACTGATTTGAGGCCGAACCCCTCAACCCTCTTTATACATTTCTATTTCTGGCCGAACCTATTATTAGTTATGAATTTAGAACTTTTGCAGTGTGGCGTTACGAGCAACCTGTCATCTCTGCTCTTTGCTTTCCTGACGTCGCAGCATCCGCGTTAAACTTCTTACATAAGTGGCAGCTGCTGTGTGTTCACCCCCCACTCCCCGTTTCTTAGAGGCCCTAGCTCGCTCGCTCGCTGCGTCGCCGCTGCCGCTCGTCTCACCGCAGCACATGTTTGTAGCAGATAACCAGGAGCGAGTGTTATCTGGCTCACAGCTCCTGGCAGGTTGACGGTGGTCAGTGGAAGGTCGGCTCGGCCTCCTCTGCAGGTCACGCCCGGGGCAGGGGCACGCCGCGCTGACTCAGCTGCTGAGCTTTGGTGCAGGAACTGCCGTAGTGTTTTTTTAACAACAAGTGAGGCGCCGCACACTTTGTCGCTCTGGACCAAAGGCTGCGTTACAACCAGCATCTGAAGCAATCAAGTGCCTTTCACACTCTTTGGAGAATGATGTAGCCTTTTAACGTTTTTGTTTTAACGGTGATCAGGAGGGAAAGTGTTGGCAAAAGGTTTTTCTTTTCTTTTCAGCCCCTTTAAACCCCAGTGGAACGTAACCATGACGACTGTCATCGCTGTATTAGATTCTAGTTTCTGGGAAAATGCGATTGTGTTTTGGTTGGGGAGCAAAATTTCCTTGGTTTGAATTTGAAATTTGAGTTTTTTTTTTTTTTTTTATTATTATTATGTCTCTTTCTTTTTAGTTTCAGTCCCAAACCATTCTGTGCCTTGAAACCCCTCCTGTCTAGTCATTCCTGTCCGCCATTTTGTTTCTCTCCCTTCGTCGTTTCCTGCCGTGTCTGGAAGCCATGTTGACTTGAGTCTCGCATCATTTGAAATCCAGCTCTTGATTCATTGTGATCGTCTAAACAGATGTTCTGTATTTACACCTTTTTGATTTTAAAAGTCCGCCAAACATTACAGCTCCGACTAAATGTGTTTGTTTCTTTGTTCCGTTCTTTTGCTGACCGTTCTCTCCAGATCCAAACCAAAGCAATACCTGAAGTGCACTGACGAGCCGCTCTGTGGCACAGTAGCTAGAGGCCCCCCCCCCCCCCCCCCCCCCAGCAGAGAGCCGGTACAAACAGACGCACTTTAAAAAGAGGCCTTGTTTTACTCAAACCCTGAGAGGAATGTAAATAAGCTAATGTTGTCGAATGCTGAGGGAGACGAGCTGGTTCTCAGGGACATGCTGTGTTTTTGAGGGCTTTGTTTTTGTCCCTGTTTTGTTTTTGGGGACGATGAATTGGTTTGATCTCCCTCTGACATTGAGACACCTCCTCTTACCACTCGCCTTTATCTTTTGTGTTTTCTCTGACTCTGCTCGTCTTAGCCGAATCGTGCCCGATGGCGGAGGCGGACTCGATCTCCCTCGGGCCTCGTGGTTTTATCTGTGCGCCCACATGCTCTGAAACCTTATCGCCCGGTGGATGGTCTCGTCCCAACAGCTGATCTCTTAAACTTAACAGGATGTTTGCCTTTAAATTCAGGGGACGGAACACATTGACCGTCTGTCCCGAAACAATCAGTCCCCGCTGTAACCATCGTCCCGAGGCCACATTCAGAACCTGATTCCCGGTTATGCCGCGGCGCTCACAGTTGTAGGTCGAAGTCTGCCGAGCGCGATGAGGACGAGTCTCTTCTCAGGCCTCCTCGTTCTCATCGCTCACTCAAAGTCGTTGTTGCGAGCGAGGTCAGAAGAAAACACAAACTTAGGTTTACTAGACATTCGACGGTGAACGCAGCCTGGAATGTAAATCCTGTGTGTACACGTCAACTTCACATGTTTACGGTTATTACAGCTTTTTTTTTTTTTCTCTCTCTGTCTGACGATTGAATTTCCTGTTGAAGGAATGAAAGCTTTACACAGGCAGCAGGGCTCGTGTGACATCACTTCCTTCGTCAGTGTGGACTTTGTATTTGTGTCGTTGTACAAACTTTGTGTGAAGGAGGAGAAGAAGAAGAAAAAAAAAAAGAGGATGAAGTGTATATTTTTCTTTATTTTAGTTTTCCTCACCCCCACTTTTTTTTCTGCTGTAACCTCGTCGACCACGTTGCTTCTCGCTCACCTCGCCTTTTTGGGGTTCCAGTTGTTCGGGCCGCCGTTGTTGTTGTTGTGGGTGTGTTTCTTCGACACCTGCAGATGTGTCCTTTAACGGGGGAGGAGGGTGCGGAGGAAGCCGTGGATTAGATATTAAGTCTTACGCCAAAGGAACGTGACGGAGGCCGCGTGGACGCCCTCCTACAGTTTCTACACGAAGAGACGTGAAGTCTTTGTTTCTCTCTTTGCAGCAGATTTGTGTTTACGTTCATGCGTGGAGGTGTGTGTGCTCGTTTGCATGTGTGTATGAAGGGATGCTTGTGGATGTGCAAGTTTAAGTGGGGGGGGGGGGTAAAGAATTAGTGGCACTATATATATATTTTTGAAATAGTTAATGCAAAAGAGCTTTTTTGTCAGCTTTGTGATTGTGACGGTGACTTTGGTGGTTACAACCATTATACTATTTCATTTATCAGCACTTTTACCTCACTTGAGTTTTTCCTTTGAATGGAAATGTACGTGTACATCAGGAAAATGTGTTTGAAGAAGAAATAAAAGAATATTAAATGCAGCCTCTTGCTTCAGCTCTTTCTGTTCACGTCGACTCAAAGTGGGAAACAAACATTTCAGCTGGTTTGTGTGTTTTGATCGTTCTTATTGTTTCCTCCATCCATGAAATCTCACACTTGTTTTGAACATTTAAGCTGAAGATGTATAAGAAGTATAAATATTTGAGTGCACCTACAGAAATCTCTCAACACGTTTCTTTCCATCCTCTTGTATCTGCAGCTTTGACTCCTCGGACTTCTCCACTCAGGTCTTGTGGGCGTCCTGATGGTGATTTTTAACCGTGCATGTTTTCCGTCTCCATCACTGTGGAGGCGGTTAGCGGTGGAGCTCCCTCCGCTCTGCACTCGCAGCCTTCAGGCCACGTCTCACTGATCTGGGCTCAGTGGAAAACACTCGAGCCAGAGGTTTTATTGGGTAATAACAGACTTCACGTTGTTTTTCCTTCGGAGTGCGTCGGCCTCGCTGCACATTTACACCAACACTCACTCCGCACGGTGACGAGAACGATTTCACTGCTAATGGATTTTTTTTTTTTTTTTATAACACGAGGTTGAGAGTGTTTTTCCTTATCACACACACACACACACACACACACACACGCTTGTTGTCTGCATGCGTCCTTTTCCGTTTAGACAGGAAGCCCCCCCCCACCCACCACCACTTGAGCTTTGAGTCACCAGCTGCCATTCATAAAATGCACAGACCCATCTGGGGGCAGTGAGTCACTGTGTGGACGTAAGTGACGCAGCAATCTGCCTCCACCAGCCTCTTTTTCCATTCCTCTCTGTCCACATGCTGATGATGCTCTAAAGACTTTATTGACCTCTGTTCATATCATATCAGATTCCTCCTCTTCCTCCTCTTGTTCCTCCTCTTCCTCTCTCAGTTCCATGTTTTTTTTTAATTATCTACTCAATCATTAAAAACTCTGATTTGATTGTGAACATTTGAATAAAGCCTGAATGTGCAGTGTGTGTGTGTGTGTGTGTGTGTGTGTGTGTGTGTGTGTGGGGCCCGTCCAGAGTCTCTGTCGACTGCAGCTGCGTCACCTGAGAACGCTGGTTTCTCACCAGCAGTTTCTGGTATCATTTGCAAAGCAGCACCTGTCCCCTGTTTTTTATGAAACCAGCTTCATGCAGAGTTTTCTTTAAACACATCCAGTCCCAAACCCCGAGCGGTTCTGATGAGCTGACCTCGACCGGCGCTCAGGATTTCTGTTTTAAATGGTTCACACATAGATTCTGTGTTGGAGCCATTGTGCACGACTGTGTAAATATTGGTCTGAGGTAAATGTCGGTGTGACGGCTGCATTAGTCGCTTAGACTTTGCAAACTCCTCTTATTATTTTGTCAATCACTTCACCAGAGATAATATTATTTTAGATAGTTGGTGGATTCAGGACACAGACTAAACCGCTGTGAAGACGGTGGAGCACATTTCAGGAACAAGCTCCTGGATGATGGTTCTGTGCTTCATGTTTAAAAAGTTTGAACGTGTTTGTTGATCAGTTTGATAGAATATTGTACGATCATGTGATCATATGATTAAACAGCTGATGATTCCCTCATAGAAACAAACTTTGAGTTTAAAGAGTGTGTTCAGCAGCAGGTGGATTCTCAGAGTCAGATTCCTCTCGTCTCTCTCTCTGGGTCATGATCAGCGCTCGACTCGTCCGTTTGTAAAAAATCATTTGAATTCAATAACAAGAGAAATGAGAACCTCTGTGAGACGTAAATAAGAAACACATGACGCTCAGATCAAAGCTGTCAGACACATTAATCAGGAATATTTCTCTGACTGATCCACGTCTCACTGACAGACTCGATGACGACAGTGAGACTGAACCTTCCCCCCCACTCTCCCACCCTTCCACGTCTCCCATCGCCAAACACCCTCCACCCTCTTCTTTCATCTGGGTCTCTTCTTCGTGTCTTTATTCCTCCTCCCTCTCTCTTTGTCAACGTGTTTTCATCGCTGTTTGTTTCTGTGTCAGCAGGATCGCACAAAAACTACTGGACGGATCTGATGGGGGGGGGGGGCTCCAGTTGTTTTCCACTTTCTTTAACAGGATGTTTTGAAATGATCTCGGATAACTGGAGGAATAACTCACATAACTTGATGGAGAAAAATCAGGCAGCTTTTTGGGCCTTGACGGAGAATCAGTATGTGCTCCACCGAGTCCAGTTTCTTCTTCCAGGGGAGGAAACTTATCAAGAAACTCGGTGAAGGGATGTGACGTAGGTCAGGAAAGAATCATTAAATGTTGGTGCAGATCTGGAACAGGGGAAGTGTGAGATAAGACATTGGCTCTGTACGCAGCACACATACTTGTACCTGAGTTACTGCGTCTGCTGTGAGCTCTGTAAGAAAATCCAGTTTTTATCTGACCAGTAAATCCAGAAATCTGAGATTATCTCGACTAATATTCATCCGATACAGACGTCGCCTTGTTTTTGGACAACGAAGGCAAATTAATAAACCATATACAGAGTTATTAAACTATATACAGAGTGATTAAACCATATACAGAGTTATAAAACCATATACAGAGTTATTAAACCATATACAGAGTTAATAAACCAGATAACTCTGTTCGTACATCACACAGACTTTTGTCCACATCTCTTTCCTGTGTATTGTTTTTCGTTGAGTTGTTTCCTGAGTTTCAGAGGCAGAGAAACACAGTGAGAGGACAACTGGTCTTTGTGGTTTCAACAAAAACACACACAACCTCTGACACCTCCACCCCCACCCTGTACATGCAAACACACACCCACACACACACACACACACACACACACAGTAAACCCCCCCCCCATTGTTGTCTGGTCTTACAGTGCTTCATTTCTGGAAAAATACCGACACCAGTGTTCAGAGCTGCAGAGAGTGAGATAATGGAGAGTGAACACAACAGTCACTGTGTGTCACACACACACACACACACACACACACACCCAGAGGTTTCTCTCAGAGGTCACTTTATATGTATGATGGCAGTTCGAGCGTCAGGACGCTCTAAGGTGGATTCTTTTATTTTACCTTGTTCTTATCAGACTGAAGTTTGTCTGTGTCCGGGACAGTTTGTCTTCGTTTCAGTGTGAGGACACGTCTTCATTAACAGATACTCATGTGAGTCCTCACAGCAGAAAGTGAGAGGACACAAAAACAAGACACTAACCAAACCATGAGCTAACAAGGTGTTTCCTGAGGTACAGGAACAGAACAAGATCATTAACAAGATAATTCATCTTAATCTGCTCTGTCCCTCCATCATCTATACAGATTATTCTGCGAGGGTCCCAGGGGAGCT